AGGAACCTCAGTGTGAAAGCATTAATTTTCATACCTCAGTTCTTGCCTGGATGGCTTGGCATAGTTTCTCCCATGTATCATTGATCCTCTGTGCCCTCTTCTGGACATCTTCTATCTGGCTATGGCCTTCTTTACTGAGTTTGGATGCTAATTCACTTATTGAAGACACTTTGGAATATCCCAGAGGTTTTACCTCCTTTACAAAACCTTCAAACTTTTCCTGCAGCCCCTGCAGAGTAAGGATGGGGAGGTTGAATCAGATACCAAGGACTTCTGTGACTCAATTCTACTGCTATATAGGAGGTAAGGAGTGTTTTTCTCTCTGCCAATAACCACAACACAAGAACAAATTGCTTAAACCCAGATATTTTGCATTTGTTTCCAGAATAAGCACCTCTTGCCATGAGAAATGAAGCCCTCTATTGTGAAAGCTTATTATCTGAATTAGTGAGTCTATAAAAGGTGCAAATCTACCCTGACTTCTGACAGAGAAAATTGCCTGCATCCTTGATGGAATGATATGCCATTAAGAACAACCAGCTGTTCAGCCTTTTACACACACTATTTTTAAAAGCATTCATTGAGTAAAATTATCAGTGGGCAATATAAATTATATCAGCTAGCACCACTGTTTCTTCAGAAAAGAAGTAAACAGGTAGTGGTAAGATGCTCTCTCTCAGGGCTGTCCCTCAGAGTATTGCAAGTTTTCATCCTCAGTGTCAAACCCTGTCTCCTCTCTCGCCAGTACAGCCTACATTTTGGAGGTTCCTCACTAAAGAGAAAGAGCTTGTATGAGCTCTCTGATAACCCCAATTTTTCTCCCCTGGTGGACAGTGCTTAAAAGGGCCCTGCATTTGGATAAGCAAGGTAGAAATTAAAACCTAATGTTCATGATGAAAAGAGGTTGATGTTGCTTCATTTTGTCTATATTGGGCTCCAGAGCCAACAAATAGAAACAAAATAAAACTAACATTTTCCTACTTCATCAAATAGGAAGCCTCTTACCTCCACATCATCCAAGTCCTGACCATACTCATCTGATGTTGCTACAGCTTGTTTGCTGGAAAGCCAGGCATCCACCAATTGGATCTCTCTCTCAAACTGAAACAGTTGGCAATGTTCCTGCAGGCATTTCTTCTGGGTTTCAGCCCTCTGCAGGAGAGACTTGTAGTCCGCTAGTACAGCCTGGAGTTTCAAAAATATGGCTTGACTGCAAAAATAACAACCAAAAACGAAGTCATTGTGTGCGAGATATTTTACCGGTGAAGAATATGTCTACTGCTTCTTTGTCTCGTTTGTCACACTTGAACTTACAGCTTCTTAGATAAGTAGAAAAGGGTCAATCCAGTAATCAGGTGAGTTATGATATGTCAGAACTAGTCAACTGCCCATCAAGAATGACAAGGGTGGGGACAACGCGCAGGGACGGAGCGCTGCCACCCACCACCCTGTGCTGCTGCCACCTCCCAGAAGCAGGGGAGAGGGGAAGCTTGCATGTGGCCGCCACCACCACCCAACGCTCTGCACTGCTGCCACTCTGCTTCCAGCTGCGCACCACCCCCGTCCCTCACCCCAAGTCTGGCCCTGCGCACCCCCCTTGTCCCTGCTCCGCATCCACCCCTGTGCCACCCTCCTGCTCCATGTCCACCTGGCCAGCTCCGCCTGGCCCACTCCATTGGAGCCCTGCCCATCGTTCTTGACAGGCATTCTTGACGTAGCACTGGCTGGAGCCACACCCTGCTGGGAGCCACACACCCCAAGAACATTATGGACAGACAGACAGACGCACAGACAGATGGACTAAGCCCTTTATATATATAGAATCATCTGGTTCAGGAAATTAAAATAATGTATGTTAGGGGGCTGCCGCTTTTCATTTCCTTTCCCCTAGTATAGGAGTACAATGTAAAGAGAAAGATTATGGACTGTGAAGAAAACTGATTTGTTCCCAAGCATGGTGTTTTTTGCTCCTTTAAATGCAGGAGGACTGAATGAGAATACCTAGGACTAGGCAGATGCCAGAGAAACTGGACTACAATGCTTACCCTTTGATTGCTATTTTGTGAAGTTCTGTTGTATTTTCTGAATAACAAGAAATCATGACAATTAAAAAATTTCATAGATATCATAGACATTAGGGCTGGAAGGGACCTCATAAGATCAGCCGGTCCAGCCCCCTGCCTGGCAGGAAGTCAGCTAGGGTTAAAGGATCCCAGCAAGATAAGCATCCAACTGTTTCTTAAAAGTGTCCAGAGTAGGTGCTTGTACCACCTCTGGGGGAGTCTATTCCAGGCCTTGGAGGGCTTGGACAGTAAAGAAGCTTTTCCTTATGTCCAGCCTAAAGTGGTCTTGCAGGCGTTTGTGACCACTAGACCTTGTCATCCCTTGGGGTGCTCTGGTGAACAGGTGTTCCCCCAGATCTCGATGCACACCCCTTATGTACTTATGTCGTTATTTCTTGTTGCAACATGAGAGAAGGGGATTCACATCTCCTACAGATAATGTCTGTAGGGTGAAGTACAGATGGATGCCTGAGGCTGAATTGATTCAATCTTTGCAGGCTAGTCTAAACTGTGTAGATTGAACCAATAAGCAAGTGAACAGACATTCACTTCTGATTCCAGAAATGCAGCCCCCTGCTTGGGGTGGCCCAGGCCAGGAGCTGGGGGGTGCTAGAGCATGCCTCCCTGCTCTGCTGGATCAGACAGCTTGGGCCTGTGAGGGGGAGTTTGTGGAAGTGGTGCAAAGCATCCTGGGATGCTGGGGGACTATGAATTAACTTGAATCTGGAGGGGATCTGGCACAGAAGTTCAATAAACAGATTTAACCTAAATCAGTTAAGTCTGATACTACATCTATCCAGGTTTATCTTAAACCATTTTTCGCCATTTTGAAAGGAGTTTACGTGTGCTGAACTTCTGTTGCTTTATAGTTTTGAACTGGTTCCCAACCACTTGAACCAGTTTATGTATAATTTTTGTCCCTAACCAAGAGATTCATTGAAAGATTTACAATCCACTGTTTTTGGTTTTGCCTTTCTAGCAGGTTTCTGATGGAAAGGAAACTACCATCTGTTTGCATTTCCCTACCTTTCTGGGTTACCACTGTTTATTAGGATAGTGCCAGTCTCCTGTAGCTTCTCAACCCGGGGCTTGAACCCTTCCATATCCAGCTTGGCAGCCTCCAGTTGGCGAAGCAAGGCCTCAGTGGATTCTTCATTCTTCCCATAATCAGAAGTCTCAAGGATAAACCCCCTTTCTGCCATCCAAGACTCAACTTCCAGCAGCTATAAGAAATATATGGATAAACCTGAACACTCAAGAGAAAGAAAACTGGAAAGCAATAAAACCCAAAGAGACCTGAAGGTGAAAACAGACAGCAACTTAGATGCATCCTTGCAGTGCAGTACTGCAGTTGCCATTCTGAAAAATTGAGAGACTAAACTTGATCCATATAGTTCTACGGTAGTTCTTTCACTGTGCTAAGTGGAGACATGGTTCTCATTTCTCACCTGTTTGACAATGTGGAAAAATCACAATGATGGTTTTTGATTCTGGTTTAATGTTGCTCCAGTCTCAGTACTCTCAAGCATTCATCAGTGTTGGGTATCTAATTACTTCATGAATCTTCCTTACCTCAGCCAGGAATTGATGGGTCTCATATGACTGCATAAGCCTCCTCCTCCTCTGTTTAGCCTCATCCTTCAAGTTTTCCACAGAATCCTCAAGTTTCTTCAAACATTCCGTAATTTCATGGGAGGCAAAGTGTCCCTCTCGTATCAACTTATGTCCTGTATTGACTACCACTTTTGTCAGAGCTTCATGGCTGCTAATCTCACTTTCTAAGTTCTGGAAAGAACAAATAAAAGAAAGCAAAAATGTAAGAAATAGAGCCCTTTCTACCCATATTCTGTACTTCATCACATCAATGTATTCATACAATCAATATATTTTTCGTACTTAAAGACTGGCCATAGAGCTGCAAAGATTGCATGAAGATCATTTTCCCAAAAGAGAGGAGCATTTGGATTCAGAGTTTTGTTTGGGCCAGTTTTGGAGATTGAATGTAGATTGAGTGTAGCTGCAGAGTTCAGATCCTGATGCAAACCTCCTCAAGCTTGTGAGGTAAATGACCTCAGCCACAAATCCCTGCTACCAGTAACAACCAACTAACAACACCTGCTGCCACCCCGAGTATCCTTGATTCATGCTCTAGGAAAGAGCTCCAGTGTTCTATCAACTTAGCTGCCAGTCAGTGTTTCTGGCTCTTCAACACCATTTTGGGAAACACAACTTTGTACAATGGATATTTCCAAGTATTATGGGGCCAAAAGAAAGTGATAATCATAGGGGAACAAAACTCTTTAAAGCACAATGCAAACGCTCTCTTTGATTCAAGTGTTTGAAGATGTCTGAAATTTGCCAAATCAATCAAATTCATATCTGAGCACATAGATGTGTATGCCCACGCGCACACACACTTTGGTGTTATTCTTTGTCTTAATGGTTTAACCAAGATTGACTTTTCTTTTTATAAGAAGACAGGTACTTTGTCTTCACATTTGTGTGTGAAGACAGATATACTGCATAGGTAGCAAAAAAAAGAGTACTTTACATGCAAAGTGTTTCCCAGCATTTTATAACCTGATGACAGAGGTTGGCTTATTTATTTAACAACTGAAACAGGGTAAGAGTTACACTGCAGTGATATATTATGTAGAAGAGACTCCCTCTAATCAGGAGCTGTACTTTTAGCTCAACTGTCAGATTACTTAGCTATGAAGGATGGGAGCCTGATTCTAATCTTACTTTTAACTTCCCCCTATTAATTTCATGAGGCCACTATGTTGCTGAAAAGTGACACCAGGTCTGACACCAGCAGAACAGAATCCAGTGTCCAAGACTGTTAAGACAGTTTGTACCATGTATTAATAAGTTGGCAATATGAAGAACAAATTTACTGTTTAACATTTGGGAACACATTTCTAAAGCTCCTCCACTTGCACCCACAGGAACTGCTAACAACTGCATGCACAAACACTGCATTTGTATATGGGATAGCTGTGCCTGCACCTGGTAAATGTATGTATAAATACATATTGGTGGATGTGTGTACCCAATATTAATGAACATTTTTTTGGTAACAAATGGGGAAGAGTATTTTGAAAATTTGTCACATCAAGACAATCAGTAAAACAATCCTTCGATTCTTTTGAGGGGAAAGTTAATATCTCATCAAACTGGAGAGTGGTTTTAATCTCAGATAAGAGCCTCCCCTAGTGGCCAACAGGGTGTAGATTGCTGCTAAGAACAAAGACTCATAACTAAAGATCTGGATTAAAAATGTTTAGTGCCAATCTTGTTGATTCCCAGGAGTTAACTGGCAAAATGGCAGGATGAGGTGACTTTTTCGTTTGTAGCTATAATACACACCATTTCCCTCTGCACTGAAGGGTCACTGCAGTATTGTATAAGATAGGCAAAAAACACAATACATTTTGTGCCACTGTCACAGTTCCCTTCTCCTTACCCCAATAACTTCCCCTAATAACGCCAACCCAAAACATTAATTCCTTCAAGGAACCTCATTCATTTTTCCATCGTGATCATCAGTTCAGAACTGTTTTTTCAGTTTAAATACAAACATAATGGACACATCTACCTGAGATGTTAATTGCACACTTGACTAATTAGATGCGCAGTAAATGTCTTAGCATCTATATCTGCACCCCGATTAGACCAGAGTAAACTAAATTACTTTGCAGCAAGATAGTATTTGCGAATACAAGTACTGTCCTGCTGCAGAGTAAGAAACTCTGCAGCAGTGCATGAGTAGATGCTGCCTGGCTGGCTGGAACATGAGGGTGCTTCAGTTTGGGGGCTACCTGCTGGTTAGTCCTGCACTGAAGCACCCTTGTGCGCCAGCTAGCCCCTCTGCAGCAGGATGAGCAGGGGGCCAGCCTTGGGCTAGCAGGCTGGCCCCCTGGGCCCCCTGCCAGCCGGGGTTGCTCCAACCTGGTTGAACATGCTACACATGAATGAACTCTAGAGCAATAAGCTCCAGAGTGTATTCATGTACAGTAATAGCACGTGTAGACGTGCCCACTGGAGTCCACACTTTCTATCACAGTAGAATAAGCTCCTCTCACTGATTCCCTTTTCTCAAGAAGGCATCCAATTATTTGTTTGTTGTTCTCCCCATTAGGTTTTGCAAATAATATACTTTTTGGATCTTAGGAGAGCATAAAATATTTACAATATACTCATGGCCTTACTCAAGCAGCACACTGGAATGATCTGACTGCTTTGGGTGGGAGTTCACCCCTTCTCCACTAAAAAACCACAAGTGGACATGACTTTTGCTCTTGTGACATTTAAAAAAATACTTTGGAAAAGCAGATTTTTCTTTCTGCAATTACATCACATAGCACCAAGCATCACTTATTTTAAAATATATATTTCTACAGGATAAGATCTTCTGTTCCTTAATCTATTTGCCTATTGCACAGATTTAAGCAAAATGTTTAAGCAAAATGTTAGCACTTTGAAACACATTTCCTTCATTTGTGCCCACAGGAATTATGAACAACTGTGTGCACAAACACTGTGTTTGTTAACTGACTAGCCATGTCTACACCTGGTACAACTGCAGAGTTGGACAAGGCCCAAAATGAACCACCTTTTCAATCAGTCAAACAAGTAGCTGCTGGAATCTTCCAGCTGGGAAATTCTCTTTCACCTCATCAATTGCACAGAGGCAGAGATGCTTTGTTTGGAAAGTACTGGGGAGGCAGCTGCTGTTTTGATATGAGAGGTGACAGCATTCTAGGCTGTCCTCATTTCTAAAGATTCATTTGAATTTTCCAGTATCTCAGTAACTAACTCCAAAGCTCTTGCTGGAATGATGCTAGGATAGACAATAATAACCTGCTAATTCCCTCAGTCAAACAGTGCAGCAGGAGAGGATTCCTCTGGTTCCCCCATTCCAGAGGCATCTAAGTTATGAATATGCCTGAGATGTACTTGCTGAATCTTAAAACACTTTTTATTGGGACATCTGTTGCTCAGAGAAGGCATGCCAGCATGCACCACAGCTTGTAAAAGATATTTAGTATTGCAAAGACAAGGTTTTGAGACTGGTAATCTGCAGAAAGGGATAACGTGTTTAGAGGAGCACGGGATGCACTACTCAGATCATTTTGTGAAAAGACATGCCATCTAGCACTGAACAACTTCATGGCACTGCTCTTTAAATAGCACCTTTATGAGAGAGACAAGAATAAGGCCCCTGGCAGATGTTACACTTAGGATGTGATTAACTAGTTAATCATGTTGTAAGTAGTAATCCAGCTACACATTAATGTAATTAATGGCGTGATAAGGAATAATCCACAAGGAATAAAACACAAAATTATTATACAAAATGTGTAATAACAAGGGGTGTCAATTAATCACAGTTAATGTGCATGATTAACGCCTTTAATTGGTTCTTGCATTGATTTTTTTACTGTGTTAATCGTGCATGCCTGGGCTATGCTGCCATCACCGCTGCCTTTGGGCTGCCCAGCAGGGCAGTGGTGGCAGTGCAGAGGAGCTGCAGGGCAGCCTGGGTGTGGGCTCTGGGTGGCTGCAGCAGGGGGGGTGCACGCACAGACACAGACGAGCAGCTGCAACATGTAGCCCAGCAGTGTGTACAGCAGTGCCTTGAAGGTAGTCTGTAGGGGGGAAGGAGTATGAGGGAGGAAAGGGGCAGAGGGGGGCAGATCAAGGACCCCATGGTGAGGGAGGGAGTGGGGCAGAGGCAGGGACAGGGGAAGGTGAATGGGGCCCTGGGGCTGGGATGGGTCAAGGGATGAAGCTTGTCCAGGGTCTGGGGGGCATGGCTACCACTGCTGTGCACACTCCTGGGGGAGCCATAGGGGGCATGGCCAGATTTGTGCATCTGGCCATGCCCCCTATGTGCTGCCTCCTGTGGGCTGGAGCTCTGCTCCTTGCTGCCTTTGCCCCAGCGTGATCTCATGCTGTGGCTCCAATGGCCAGGTGGGCAGGGGATGTGCAGTATGGCTGGCACGCAGTTCCTGGGGCAAGGGCAGCAGGGTGCAGAGCCCCCACCTGCAGTGGGCAGCCTGCCTCTGCCCCACACCCAAATCCAGAGGGCACGTGCCCCCCCATGCAGCTCATGAGACCTGCCCTGGCCCCAGGGCCCCATGTACCTCAACCCCTGCCCCACTCCCTCCCTCACCGTGGAGGCCTTGATCTGCCCCCCCACGTCCCTTACCTGCAAGATGCTCTGTGTGTGTGTGTGTGTGTGTGTGTGTGTGTGTGTGTGTGTGTGCACATCTCTGTGTGTGTGTCTACCCCTTACTCCCAAACCACAGCCCCCCAGCCCTGCTGATGCTCGTTACTCCTGACAGTGCAGGGGGTGCCACAATCATGATCCTGGGCTCCCCTTGCACTGGCAACATGGCATGATTTGGATCTGATCCCCAATTGCACAATGGTGTCTCCTGCCACACGCATGTAGCTTGCAGGGGGTGCCATTGCTGGGATCACACATCAGATCCCATTGCACAGTTAAACAAACATCTGCCTGGGGCCTAAGAGTCACTTTTGGCAGTAATGGTTTCACTGTAACCAGAGTAGAAAAGATGAGTTTCACCCTCAGTGGGTGAATCCCACATTCTCACTCTTGATTTCACTCTTGTTTCTACACTGCTTTACCTGGTGCTTTTCCTGTAAACTCTGCACAGCTGTTAGGGATTGGCCATAGTCCTTGGAGGAAGCTATGGGGAGTTTCTCATGAACCCAGGCCAACTCATTGTCAACATCTCGGAAGAATTGGTACTGCAACCTGCTGGCTTCCAAACTCCCACGGCTCTCTTGCAATGGCTCATGTAGGCTCTTGTACCTGCAGATTTAAAATGGGGCCCAATTACTACAAGAGAGAGAGGGGGTGGGGTAACACAAACATGTGCCTTGGCTATGAAGAAAAAGAAAGGAAAACAAAAAGGAAGGGAGAAAAAAATAAATGCAGAGGAGGAAAAGGGCAGTAAAAGGTAGGAGAGGAGAGAACAGAGGTAAAATAGCAGACACTCACACACCTGTGCACCACCTGGTCAACCCTCTCTTCTAACTCATCTGCCAGGAAATGTCTCTCTTGCTGGAATTCACGGGCTGTGTCCACTAGCACCTGTAATCGATCCCTGTGGGCAATGACACCTTCCTCCAATTCCTCTTGTTTCTTCAAGAGATTGTTCAAGACTATCAGGTCACTACTAGCATATGGAACCTTCAGCTCACTTTCCACATCATCCAGCCATTTCTCCATATCCTCTATGCTGCGTTGGAAATGCAGGCCCTGGGGACAGGGAGAAAAGCAAATGTCAGCAGGCTTTTTAGAGCAAAAAAATCTCAGCCTTTTGCATGAAGGATCACATCACACTTAAAAACCTTCTAGAGCTTAATGAACTCTCTCTTCACCTGTGATGTACAAATGCTCAGAACTCAGGTAATGTGAGCAAAAGCAGGTTCACAGAATATAAAGAACTAACTGTGCCTGTAAGGTACAAATAATCCTAGTTATGAGCAAGTCAGCCTTTTAGAGGGTGCCTTTAAAATCAGTGGTTCTCAACCTTTTTGGACTCAAAGCACCCCTGGACAGATTCGTGGCACACCTGGAAAAGTACCAGCTCTTAGTTTTCTCTCTTTTTTTGTGCAGAGAAAAACAATGGAGCTGTTTTTCTGATGCAAAGAACTTGGAAAGACCACAACTATGGATTTATATTGGAAATCTCTGGGTTTATCTTGTGAATCATGCCAAACAGTGCTAAAACTGCAGGACATCCCACAGCACCCTTGCAAAGATCTCAAGGCACCTCAGCATGCCATAGCACCCTGGTTGAGAATCATTGCTTTAAGCAATACATATAGAGACAGAATCAGCCCATGTAGACCTCATCAGTGGGACAGGAGGGAGTCACATCAATGGAAAACAGCTGCAGGCTTCTCTCCAGCTGGTGCTGATTGAGTGACTGGTGTTGGCAGGACAGTGATTGGTACTTGTAATGATCCAGAATATTTCCCTTCAACTTCCTCCTCTGGAGTCCTGATTGAACAAATGCTTTCTTAGCAGATACCAAAAGAGAACATAATCATGGCATCAGCCTTGATTCTCCTTGCGGGTTTCTCTCTCCATGCAAGATTCAGTACATCTGGTCTGTGCTTGCTACTATTTGGTAGATGGCAATTCCCTTGCTTCATTGGTTTTGATATCTTAAAACCTGTGCAAGTCCAATGGCACACTGACAAGGGAGACATCACAGCAAGGCAGAAATCCCCAGCACCTTTGCTTTACCTTGCAGGCATCCTGTAGCTTGGTCTTTTTATTAAGGCAGTTTGCCAACAGCTCATCCCAGAGCTCTTCCATTTCTTGAAGCCTGGCCTGGATGGCCTCAGGAGCATAATGTTCCTCTCGGATCATCTTCTCACCCTCCTGCAGCAAAAAGAGTGGAAGCAGCTTGCTTAGCCCACTGCACCAGCTCTAATCAAGAAAGCCTCACAACCCCCTTCAGAGGCAGCTAAAATTACAGCAGACATTTTACAGAGGGGTAACATAACCCACTGCCAGGGTGAGGTGAAGTGACTTTTCCTAATTCACATAGGAGCCCTCATTTGTTTAATTACTTTGTGATTCAGACATTCGGTCTGAAGGAATCTGTCACACCAGTTCCCCACACCCTGTACTGGCCCTACTTCTCTTACAGCCTTGATGCTGTCTAGACGATTCCTGTTGGCTATGATTTCTGCGTGGAAAGTCTGGTGTTTCTGCAGCTTGGCCTGCATGTTGCTTGGGTCTGTCCAGCTCTCATCCTGGGCAATACTGTTCTTCTCAGCTATCCAAGTTGCCACCTTTAGCAGAAAGAAGGAATAGAAAGAAACAAGAACTTTAGAAGCTACTACCATCTCTTCTTGCAGATACTCCTTAAATGTCTAAAATTTGGACTAGTTTGCAATACAGACCAAAGCAAATTAATTTTCCTTTCTGAATCACTGTTCCCCACCCCCTTCAGAAAGAGGATGCCATCTGCATATGTGTAGCCACTGCTAGTTCATATGCAGTGGCTAGGCACTTGTTTCCATAGTTCTAACCCTGCCTACATCTCACAGAGAAAGGATTATTCTGTCCCTTTCCAGTATTTCTCATATGGTGGGATGTTCCTCCTTTAATTTTACATTTCCTTTTGTACCACACTGTTTCTGTGTGATCAAAATACATCTAGGGATCAGATCTCATTTTAATTGCCTGAGTATGTATGGCTCAAAGGCTGAACAATGTCCTTTCTTTCTTACTTCCATCTTTTCCAGTCTTCTCTCATACAACCACCTGAGCCTCAGTTCCTCTGGTTTTTTCCTTCAGAGGTTCATGGCAAAGCAGCACAACTGAGATGTTAAACACTCTAGGAAAGTAACACATATTAGAAATGTACCTCATAGGAATTTTTCAGAAGCTTTTGCAGGAGCCTTGAATCTTCCAGCATATGTCTGCGAGCCAGAGCATTCTCTAGAAGTTTGTCTTTCCTGGGATAAGGAGAGAACCATGAAGACGAAGCCACAGCAAAGAAAACTAATTGGCAGAAGAGATTAACATTTTCACCACTCCTCTCTAAAACTCACGTTTGCATTCTAACCTTCATTTCTAGGGGATACTTGTCCATGTCATTGAACTATCCTGTAAGTTAACCTGTCTGGCAGAACTGATGACCAGAGCTGGACTAGCAATGGTTTTGTAGGTAAGGATTATTACAGAGATGTATATTGAAAACTTTCACAGCCCACCACACACTGTACCTACACTCCTACAGCTAAGAGATGTGGCCAATATAACCAGTGCCCTTCAGGTGATGGCTGCACAGGCTGCCATGAGATCAACAAAGTCATTTTCACCTTGAACTCCTATGTCTGTGCCATCTACAGTAGTTTTTGTTCTTGCAGTCATGCTTGGTCTTGGAAATTTATCATATGAATATTACCCTTTCTTAAAATCAGGTCTCCCTTTTCTGAAGAATACAGGAAACTCTCTGGAAGTAATAACAGAGAACCTGGGCACTGTATTAAGGCAATTGAAACTTGGTAACATGGTTACCCTGATTTATTTATACAACCCCTTTCTTCCTAAAGGAGCTTGAAGGACTTTACAAATGATGCGCATAACATTTCAGCCACCATAGTACTGAATTCAGCGAATGTGAGTGAGAATATCTGTTCAGCAATGCATAGGAACAATCGGCAACAACATTTTGGGACAAAAAGGGATGCATATTTTATCCAAGTGAAATTAAAGGGAGAAATTTAAATTCTTAAATCAAAACTTAAATACCAAACTTGGAATTTCACCATGACTTTCGAGCGAGCTACTCTACAGCTGTGAAAAATACCAGAGGATGTTTAGTAACTCCTGATCATAACAAACCTCTTTGTCCCAATTATCAAGTAAGGACATGGATTTAGTGCAGACTCCCAACAAAAAGTGTCCAGAATCACCAACCATGTTTCCTGATTTACCTACAAGTCCCTTGAAGGACTGCTATGGAATTATTGGCCTGGATCAAGCCTCTTTAGCTTGTAAAATCTCACAGGAATGCAAAATAAAGTGCAAATCAGTGTTGATGATTCTTTTAAAATATTTACATGACAACAGTAAAGGAAGAAGAGTCCTTATTTAGACAGGGTTGGGAAAGGAATGGTTTTTACCTTCTCAAAACAGCCTGGCACTTGTTAGTGATGTTTTCTGAGTCATAATGCTTGTTGTGTTTCAGCTGTTGTGCAAAGGAGGCCATCTCATTGATCTTCTCCATCTGTGCTTCTAGAGCCTTTTCAAACTGCACATGTTTCCGCTGTAGGCTTTCGACACTGGACACAGAATCCTGGATGGGATTCAGAATAAGGAAGCTGCTCACTGTGGGAATAAAATTGCCATTACCCAACCTTTGCACACTGTCAAGGAAATGGATTGGCCTCTGTACCCATAGTGTTGGAGCATCAGTTCAGTCTGGCAGCTCCAGTACTGAGCAAACTGCAAGATGCTCAGCTGCTTCTGCTGGATGCTCAGATACTTCTGCTGAGTGAACAGTGCTCAGTACAAAGAGCTAGCTGAGTTTTGGAGATACTGAGCCCTCGCTTTTCCCAAACAGGAAGCCATAGGAATGAAACCCCACAGTTTGAGTGGATTTAAGATTTATTTAATCATAAGCCAATCATACTAGAGGTGTTGTTCTGAAAGCAAATAAATAGGGGACACCAAGCTGTGATCACAGTTAATGAACAAATATGTCAGAGCTTTAAATCAGAGCATTTTATAAGGAATCCGAATGGAGCACAGAACTAGACTTCCTTTGAAGTTTCTGGATTCCAACTTCATGACCTGCACTTCTCTCTTCTGCAGTTCTCCGTACTTCCTGGCTTTAGAGCTGTCAAAATAGTGCTATTTAATAAGACCTGTTCTTCCAGTATTTCCAGTGTGGATGCCACTAGAAACTACCATAAATCTCTTGAGAAAACTTATCATCATGAAATTTCTAACCCTATAGACAAATAAAATTGCATTAGAGAAGTATCTAAGTATTTAAATGTGGATATGAAGCTCTGGAGTCTTCTCCATTACTAGTAAAATATTACTGGAAGACAGAAGGGACTCAACTACATTCCTGAAAATATACAGCTTCCCCATTAGTCCCTGCAATATTTCAACAGGTGGTACTCTGCTTGTGTATTCCTATCTTGAGGGCCACAGAGGAACAGTCACCAACCATCAATATTAGGCATATTCCATGTCATTATCCACATCTTGCAGTGACTATAGCTCAGCTGACTTTATAGCCATTGTAGCATGGAGCCCACCATGGCAGAGGCACATCCAGCAAGGTTTGCACCTTGGGCAAAACCCTGCTAGAGATGGGGGCCTGGGAGTGCTGCTGAGTGCTGGAGGGGTGGGAGGTTGCCAAGCCTGATGGGAGCGGAGGACACACACACACACACACACACACTCTCTCTCTCTCTCTCTCTCTCTCTCTCTCTCTCTCTCTCACCTTCCCTAGGGACCTAAAATCTTCCCTAGGGATTTAAAATCTCCAGGGTGCTTCTGTCAGCAGTCTGCCCACCTTGACTATTACTGCTGCAGCAGCCTATTGTACTCAGCTGCTGCTGCTATTGCATTTAGGGGCCCTCTCTAAGTTGGAGGAAGAAGAACTACAGGTAGTTTTTTGGAAAGCTTCACAGGGTTTCAGAGTCTTTTACACCTTCTTCTTCTGCCTTTCCCCACTTCAATGGAAACCGAATTATCCTGTTCACCTACCCCTAAATCATCATTAGCCAGGAAGGCTTCTTTACTACTGAGCCAGCTCTCATTCTGCTCCACATAGCCATAGAATTTCTGGAAGGGAAGAAAAAAAAAACCAGTCATGACTGTTGTTTTTGAGTCTGTAAAACCGAGATAATACTGATGTGCAAAAACTGAACCAAGAAATACTTAAGAACTTTAGTTAAAGTGACTTTAAACACTAAGGGTATTTGTACATGACACGGGGGTTTAATTCTCCCTAAATTGAAGAGGTGGTTTTTTAAAAACACCACTTCAATTTAGGGCAAAGTAAACCCCTGTGTCAAGTACACCTGTGTTGGACCCTGATCCTTACTAGACTCTCCAGCAGTAGGGAGGGGAGAGCAAGCTGCTGGCAGGCAGAGTGGTCCCTAAGCTGGGGGGAAGAAGGGCTGGTGCTTCCCTCTGTGGCACTGGTGGCCCCCCACCAGGTGGCACCTGTCCACAGGCACCCAGCTCGGGCAATCCTGGGGGGCACCACAGCTGCAGAGGGAAGCACCAGGCTCCTGCACAGCTCAGGCAGGCTCCGGGGGGGAGGGGCGGGGATCAGGCTTGCTGCTTTTTTTTTTTTTCCTTCTGTGAAGCCTGCCTTCCTGGGCTGATGCCGGGCTGCCTGCACAGCCTCTGAGCCGCACAGAGACTGGTGCTTCCCTCCTCAGAGGTGTTTTACTTTGCAGCACCCCAAACTCATTTGCTGCATCCCAAAGTCATTTAAGGCGCATTACACGGTCAAATGTGCTACAGTGGTTGGAATTAATGTGCAATACTCCACCGAATGTGCAAACAGCAATGCCATTAAAGCGGTGCAAAAGGCATTTAACTTACTATAAACCCACTTAAAAGTGTTGTCTACAAATGGCCTAAAAGCACTGTATGGTATAATACAGTATGTATTTAGCTCTTATTATTGGAACTTCCTCATTGGCCAATATAACTAATGTTTTCATTTCCTGGACACAGGGTACTGGATTTTCTCAAGTGTAACAAAAATATTGTCAGCATATATGTTAATGGTTTGGGTTGGGTTCTTATATTCTAATTCACAAATGAGGAATACTACATTGCTCTGTGAGCAGTGATTTTCAGTAAGGTACTATTCCACTTAAGAAAAGGGGTTATAATCTGGCTCTGAATAATTCAAACATGATATATGAACTAGCATGAAAACAGCACCTTGCATATATCATATTTTTCATGCATTTGAATTGGAACCCAACAAGCCTGAGTCTCGCTGTTCCTCTGCTCTCAGCAAATGCTTGTGAAACCCACTGGCATTCCTCTCCCCCTCCCCTTCCATCTCATGCTGGTTCATAGAAAGGACGCCAACCTACTACTATCAATTACTGTTAGCTCACGTGGCAGAGTCATGCGTGGTGGATCTAAACCTTCAAACCTAGCCAATGAACCATGTGTCACTACAATGTCCAATGATAGAATTTGATTTTTTTTATAGCTTGCTTTTTTAAAAAAGTTGGAATGTAAACAGATTTAAACAAATAATTATGTTAAAAGAATTTACCTGAGGTTTCAAAGTCAAGTACTCAAATGGAAATGCCACAAATAGAATTATTTGAGCAGCTTAATTTGGCCTCCTTTTTTGTGGGCATTATGAGAGAATCCTTAATTACATGATTGTGCGCTATTTTTCATAGTTGCCTGCTGCACTCTGGCATGAACTGTGTCCCTGCCTCTGTCACAAAGTTTGTGTGTGTGGATCAAGCTTTTCAAAGGGGGTTGCTAAATATATATTCATTATTTCCTGGGTGCCTGATCTGTAGGGATGTGGGAAATTTCGCTGGCTGTTTTTTTCAAGGCTGTTTTGACTCGTTTCGAGCTCAAAACAGTGAAATTGAAATGAAACAAAGAGCTTCAAAACAGCCTTGAAACGAAACAAGGCCAGTCACAATATTTTGAAACTTTCCAAACGTTTCGAGTTTCGAAGCAGCCCGGTGGTGGGAGGCAGGGGAGAGCCCAGATTACGCTCCGAGCGGCTCCGCAGCCCCATGTGGCTCAGCCTGGCGGGGAGCGCAGCCCTGGCTTTCCCAGCCTCCTGCCGCCAGGCTATGCTCTGTGGGGCCAACAGTGCTGATGGGAATGCAGCACCAGCTCTGTCCACCTCCTGATGCCGGGCTGCACTCTGATTGGCTCCAGCAGCCCCACGGAGCCCAGCCCAGTGGTGGGAGGTGGGCAGAGCCAGCGCTGTGCTCCGCCTCCCACCACCAGGATGAGTTCCATGAGGCTGTGAGCTGCTGGGTGTTGAGCCTGGTGGAGAGAGGTGGAGCTCAGCCCCAGATGCAGCTCAGCGCCCAGTGGCTTGCTGCCCAGTGGAGGGAGGTGGTGTGCAGTGCCGGTGCTGTGCTCCACCTCCCTCCACTGGGCTCAGCGCCCAGTGGCTCCCAGCCCTACGGAACTCAGCCCAGTGGGGGGAAGTGGAGTACAACCCTGGGACTGCTCTCCGCCTCCCTCTACCAGGCTTAGCTCCCAGTGCCGGTCCCAGGTGGCAGCAGCCTTCTGCTCATACTCCTGGGAGGACTCTGCTGGACTCATCCAGGAGTGCGGGCTCCCAATCTGCCTGAGATCACAAGAGGCCGCTCCTCCTCCAGTTTTATGCTTCTCCATTATAGCCTATGGGCAAAACTCGAAACAGCATTGAAACAGCAAAACAGTTTCGCTGTTTTGACTAAATGAACAATGCTTTCAAAATTAAACTAAACTCGAAATGAAACACTGTTCTGTTGTAACATCGAAACAGAACTCGAAGTGAAACAGTGCTGTTTCGCATAGCCCTACTGATATACGAGTCTGGGGTCCAATTTGCATTAGTGCTGAGCAGACACAGCTGTAATTAGAAATCAGTGGAAGTTGTGCTTGAGTATATAACATGCTTAAAGCTAAGGACCTTGAAAAATCAGGTGCTTCCTGTCTCAAATTGGGCACCCAAACTCATTGAAAATATCTGACCATAAGCTCTGTGCCCCAGTCTCCATCCATACTGTAGTAATCTTAAAATGATTCCATCAAAAAATTGTGAAGTGCTTAGGCCTGGTAGTGAGCACCAAAAAAAAGCCCCTGAATTAATTAATGTGGTAGCATCCATATTCTTCACAGTTCCTAAACTTTGGCAAATATGAAGGTTTATGAACTAGTTAGAGATATATACAAACAGAGTGAACAGCTGTGTGGGGCTCCTGAGTTGCTTCAGCTGTTTGCTGTAGTTTTGATTTCAAAGGGCACCACTTCTCTCATCAGCAGCATGGGAACACTGATGAGCTCCCACTGGTCAGAGAATTGGCATCTTTTGAATTAAAAGCAACAACAAGTAGTTCTTGCTGTAATTCAGCAACCCCTTCAAATGAAGGAGGTTATGACCCCGTGGGTTTTACTGTACTTCTGTCTTCAGAGTAGAATCTGAATAATGTCCAGTAAATAAAGCCTAGAATTATGCATTGAACAATCAGAAGTAAAGGCTAGTAAAATGAGCAAAATGCTGGCTTGCATCCACAGATGTTTCTCAAGCAAATCCCAGGACGTCATTCTCTAGTTGTACTCGGCCTTGGTGAGGCTGCAACTGGAGTACTGCATCCAGTTTTGGGCTCCACAGCTCAAAAAGGATGTGGAGAAGCTGGAGAGAGTCCAGAGAAGAGCCACGCATATGATCAGAGGTCAAGAAAACAGACCTTATGATGAGAAGCTGAGAGCCATGGGACTCTTCAGCCTGGAAAAGCGCAGGCTCAGGGGTGAGCTAGTGGCCACCTATAAGTTTATAAGGGGTGTCCACCAGGATCTGGGGGAACGTTTGTTCACCAGAGCGCCCCAACAGACAACAAGATCTAATAGTTATAAACTCCTGCAGGACCATTTCAGGCTGGACATCAGGAAGAATTTCTTTACTGTCCGAGCCCCCAAGGTCTGGAATAGCCTGCCATCAGAGGTGGTTCAAACACCCACATTAAATGCCTTCAAGAGAAAATTGGATGTTTATCTTGCTGGGATCCTATGACCCCAGCTGACTTCTTGCCCCTGGGGCAGGTGGCTGGACTTGATGATCTTCTGAGGTTCCTTCCAGCCCTAACGTCTATGAAATCTATGAAATATAGAATTAGTTACTCATTAACTGAGCACTGTTTATCCCAGAGATTCTCAGCCAGGGTGCTACAGTACCCTGGGGGTGCCCTGAAATCCTTTTAAGGTGCAATGGGGTGCTGTGCAACAGGGTGCTATTTGGCATGCAAACACCTACATGTGATTCACAAGATAAACCCAGAGATTTCAAATAGGAATCCATAATGTAAAAAACATGATGACCTCTTGTGGTCTCTCTGAGGTCTTTCCAACAGAATTGCTCTTTCATTGTTCTGTAGTTGAAAAATGAATGCAAGCTCGAAGTAGGCATTTTCAAAGGGATGTCTTGAGTCTAAAAAGACCACACACCACTGGTCTACCTTGTGCAGGGAGTGAGGTAAGAGGCTTGTGGAAAAAACACAAGATGTGATCATGTAATCACAGACTGTACCATAATATATATGTACAAGGGGACTGAATTATGGTTGTTTAGGGTTTTCTAACTGTTGAGTGCTTGACTCTGGCTGCAAAGACACATTCAAATTATCTGGGAGAATTTTCCTATGTTTGTTCTCCTGGCAGAAAAACTTACCCAGAGCTGTATGTGAGACATTCAAGTGCTGAGGCCCTGAAGAGTGGAGAGCTTGCAGTGCTGACACTGTGCAGCCAGGAAGGGGAGGAGGATGGGAGGGAGACAGGAGGGGGCTGGGGTGGCACACCTTATTATCTTCTTTTTATGTTGTATTGTGTGTGTAACATATGCACGCTCACCCAAATGGATCCTCACTGCATGCGAGCAATTCCAAATGTCCAACGTTTTTAAATCCCTGTTTATACTGAGCTATGTTTGCTAGAGCTCTGTTTTTCTACTGAGCAACTCTGCACTTACCTGCAACTCCTGGGCCTGGAATAATTTTACATATCGGTCCTGCCATGCCTGGATCAGTTCAGACCAGGCCTGCTGCAACTTGGAAAGGGATTGCTGGAGCTCAAGGGCTGCATAATGACCAGAATTGGCAAGCTGCTGACCATAGTTGCTGAGTGAATTGAATCTTTCCACTCGTGCTTCAATCTCCTCCTAAAATACAGGGGAAAGATTGATGTCAAAGTTTTATGGAAAGTCAGCTATTCAGTATAGAGGACTTTAGGGGGAAGAAAATGGACCATAACTTCCCAACACTAACATTTGTATGGAAAATCATTCATCTTTGTGCTATGCCACTGAAACCGCAAAGGAATAATCTAACAGCAAGTAAGTATGGACAAAAAACTTTCCCCCATTATTCATGAGAAGATGGTCCCCCCAAGGAACAGATTGGAAAGTGCTTAGAATTAAATAAGTATGGATTTATAATTATAACATTGTCTTTCGCCACACAGAAAATAATCCTTCAATGGCAAACAATGCCTGGATTTCGCTTTTGCATTCGTGCACAATGAATCAATGTGAGGTTATTGTATTATAAAGACAGTAGTACTTTTTTCTTGGTATAAAATGAATTATCTTTAACTTCAACTAAAGTGAGAGGGGGAGAGAGAGAGAGAGAGAGAGAGAGAGAGAGAGAGAGAGAGCGCGCGCGACTGAGTGTGCAATGTCTGTATAATGAATCCGTAAAGGAGAAATTAAGTGTGAGAGCTACTATATAAATGACTGGAAAATGTAAAAAGAATTGTGGAGTGAAATGGTAGCGTATGCTATAACTTTAGGGACATACACATAAAAAGCAGCTCAGGGTTGATGGAATATTATATTAAACTTCTGAAATTGCCATTGCTAGTTCTTAGGGTATATCTACCTTGAAAAATGTGGGTTAGCTAACTTTCGTTAAAACACAGCAATGCAGATGGGGAAACTGGCTGTAACTATTATTATTATATTAGTATCATGACTTGGATCTCATACTCCTCTAATAGTCTTTAACTTGGGCTACTAACCTGATTTAAAAAACAAAGTTTTGCTTTGTGTTCACTGTTATTTTAACTTGGCCATCCTGAGTTAAGCACATACTTTTTTTTCCAGCAAGGACCTACCCTGACATCCAACAGTTCCTTCATTATTAGCTGTGAAAGAAGAAGTCCTCAAGGCCAGGGGCCTGCCCATGCAGCCCAGCATGTGGGTATCAGGGAGCTCCTGCCTTAGGTGGCTTTCCTCCACCTGAGCCCAGGGCAGCCCCAGGGAGCTGAGGGGAATTCTTCCCCTCCCGAGCCCCACAGCTACTTGCCTGAGCTGCCCTGAGCCTCAGAGACAATTTGCTGTCATGGGTGATCTAAATTACCCAGACATCTGCTAGGAGGAGCAGTCAGCCAGGTTGGACCATTCCAGGAGGTTCCTGGCTGAGATACAGGACCTCTACTTAACCCAGGAGGTGCACAGTCCCACCAGAGGAAATGCCCTGTTGGACCTGGTCCTGGCCACAGGCGATGATCTGGTAAGGGGGCTCCAGGTCCTTGACCACCTGGGTGATAGCGATCATCGCTTGCTGGAATTCATCATCCAGTGCAGGGTGACAAAGGCCTGCAGCAAGGCGGTAGCCCTAGACTTCAAGAGGGCCAACTTCAAGGAGTTGAGGAGATTAGTGGGAGAGGCGCCGGGGTTCTCGAGGGCAGGGGAACTCAGTGCCCAAGATGAGCGGTCGTTTCTTAAGGAGACGATACTCAGGGCCCAAGGGGTGATGATCCCAACAAGAAGCAAGGGGGGCAAGAGTGCCCAAAAGCCCCCCTGGCTCACCAAAGACGTCCGGGAATGCCTGGTTGCCAAAAAGGTGGTGTACACCCGGTGGAAGTGGGGGGCTATCTCCAAAGAGGAGTATACCTCCACTGCTCGGGCCTGTAGGGGGGCTGTTGGGAAAGCTAAGGCGGACAATAAAGCTAGGACTATCATCCAAGATCAAAGATAATAAAAAGTCCTTTTTCAAATATATAGGGAGGATGAATAAGGCACTGGGAAATGTGGGGCCCCTGCAAGATACGCTGGGCAATCTGGTGGTTGCGCCAGAGGAGAAGGCAGACCGCTTTAACAAATTCTTCACCTCCGTTTTCTTGTGCAGGCCTGCTTGAGCAGGAGGTTGGACTAGATGACCTCTTGAGGTCACTTTCAACCTGGATATCTTCAAGAGGAGACTAGACAGTCACCTTGCTGGGGTCACCTGACCCCCAGTTATCTTTCCTGCTTGGTGCAGGGGCCAGGACTCAGTGATCTTCTGAGGTCCCTTCCAGCCTTACAATCTATGAATCTATGAACCCTAATGTTCTATGATTTTATTATCCTAAGAGACAGCCAAAATATGTTGCCTATAGGACTCTTTGTAGTGGTCTGTACAGAACTGGCTTTTTTCCAGAATGCTGCTTCATTTCCTTCTGCTTAACTGTAGTAAGACAACTAAAAACAAATCATTATTTTACCATTATTTTCCCATGTAAGCAGTTGCTACAGCTGCAACAGAGAATTTATCTGATTGCTGACTGCAGGAAAGGTGGCCATGCTATTGTGCCTGAAAAGGCTTGTGATCCCCAAGTCAAATTCTCATTTAATAGGTGATCACATGTTGAAAACATGTTAAATCCATCTGACCTACCAGTCTCATAAAAATCCAAAACAGCAGTCCCTGCCTGGTTCCCATTTGAGGAAAATAGGTTGATGAGTTATTTAATGGAAAAGTCACAAAGATCTCAAATAGACCTGAATGAAGGCATGAAAAATCAGAAGTTAATTTTTAAACCCTCAAGGAACCAACAGTATTTCTTGTGAAGTATTCTCCCAGTGATTGGCTGGAGGGCTCAGTTTTTTCAACCATGAACCACCAGCTTCAGTTAAGTATGGTAACTTTTTGTACAAAGAAAAAACACTGTGCTACTACAACATGGATCAAATACTTTGGCACAGGAACCAAACTCGTGGTTTCTAGTAAGTATTTTGATTCTTATTTGGTTTAGTTGGGGGCTTTTTGGGGGGGTAAACTGTTGCAAGGGCAATTATTGGAAAGATAGACATAAATCAATTGAAGAAAATGAACCCAATATTATCAACGATTAGTGGATGGAGTTCCCATTGCCATTAGAGGATGGATTTAGGGAAATACGTTATCCTAATCTTAATAATATAAATCCTAATCTTAAATATATTATCCTAATCTTAATAATATAATTTCTGGGATGTTTATTGAAAACTTAATAAGGACTGAAGAGGTGGGCAATGAAGACATTGAAAATATAGGCTGAGGGGGGACCTTGTGACCATCTATAAACTCACTAGGGGGGACCAGAAGGGTTTGGGGGAGACCTTGTTTCCCCTAGCGCCCCCCAGGATAACAAGGAATAACGGCCACAAGTTGTTGGAGAGTAGGTTTAGATTAGACATCCGTAAGAACTACTTCACAGTTAGGGCGGCTAGGATCTGGAACCGACTTCCAAGGGAAGTGGTGCTGGCTCCTACCATGGGGGTCTTTAAGAAGAAGCTTGATACCTACCTGGCTGGGGTCATTTGAGCCCAGTTTTCCTCCTGCCCAGGCAGGGGGTTGGACTTGAAGATCTACAAGGACCCTTCTGACCCTACTTCTATGATTCTATGACAGCCTGGGGCAGCCTCCAGGGAGCAAAGGGAACTTCTTCTGCTCCTCTGCAGTTGGTTTTGCCTCAACTGCTGTGAGTCTCATGCAAAAGCAGCTCCAGAGGAACTGGAAAATGTCCCTCTGCTTCCTGTGGCTGCCCTGGGCTGTCTCTGAGACTTGGGGCAGCTCAGGCAAACAGCTGTGGGGTTCAGGAGAGGAAGAATTCCCCTCAGCTCCCTGGGGCTCCCATGATGGGGTGAAGGGAAGCATCTGGGTCAGTGCAGGCCTTCCCCTGCCTTTCCCAACTGAAAACTGAATATCAGTTCAGCTGGTTATCAGTTCAACCTATGCACCTTTGAGGAAGCTGCCTAGATTGAATTGATTTTGCCTTGGGCTTTTTGAATGTCTGTACTTAGCCTTGGTGTCCAATATGAAAAAAGTGGTGCTATTAGTCTGCTTCCTATGACACATCACAAAACAACAGCTGGCATTACGGGCTTGTCAACATTTTGGTACCAATGTCAAGAGCACCAGTTTGTATTTATTTAGCAAATGCAAATCCGCAAAGACAAGCACCAGTGAGTAGCATGCGCTGTCCACTTGCTCCCACTCCATGTATACGAAATCCCAGAAATGAGCCAATGCAGTCACCATAGGGCATTGATTCTCAGTCAGGGTACCATGGCATCCTGGAGTGCCTTGAGATCTTTTCAAGGGTGCCATGGTATGACACACAATGTTACCACTGTTAGGTATACAAATAGGATTCACAAAATAAACCCAGAAATTTCAAATAGGAAACCATAGTGTTAAACACATTCTGACCTGCTGTGCTTTCTTCTGTTGCAAAGAATTGAGAATTATTCTATTAGTTTTGTGTAGTCAAAAAAATGAGTGAGAGTTAAGAGCTGGCATTTTCCAAGGGATGCCTCGAGTGTAAAAAGGTTGAGAACCTCTACCATAGAGCAACCCTGAGGTGATACTGAGCCACCTTTTATGGTTGGTAAGTCCAGGTCAGAGTTGTTATGCACTAATAGGATTCACAGAATAAATGTGAAGTGCTACGTTGCCCATATGGTACCAATTCTGTGGAAACATATAGCTTTTCTCTCCAGTGAGAGTGTCTACATGTTACCCTATGGCGATGTTGCTATGGTGTGGTGCTTTAGTACTTCCTTTTGAAGTACTAAAGCATGGTGCAGTAACTGCCTGTACTGTGCTATATGGGCAGCACACATTTAGCTTTCCCCAGTACATCACTGTAGTGGCATACTATAGGCAGGGAGTACGCCACTATGATGACGTAGCTAGTGATTATGTGTAGACTTGCATGACCGCTACATCACCATAGTGCGCCATACAGTGATGTAGCACATCGCTATGTTGCCATAGGGTGACATGTAGATGTGTCTAGTGATGACACTCCATCACCTTTCAGCATATTATTGAAAACAGAATATGATTAGTTGTGGGGAGCAGGTATACTATGGCCATAGTGCATCTGGCAGCAAATAGTTCTAGTCATGAAAATTGTATAACATGGGACAGTTCTCCAGAAAATCTAGTTGTAAGTAACAATGATACTTGCCTTTCTCTCATGATGCTCCTCAATCAGGCTTTCTGCTTCACTTGGACTTTTGGGAAGCCCCCCTGCCTCCATTAAGCCTTTGGTTTTTTTAAACCAATCTAGCAGCTCTTTTAGCTCATGATTAAATTTCTGAAACTGGTACGCGGCTCCCAACTTTTCCTTCCTACCACAGAAAATATAATTATGCATTAGCAAACACAGTTTCAATTTACCTCCTTACCCTGCATAACCACTGCTCCATTTTCTATAGGAAATCATACAAGAAAACACTGAAGCTGGAGTAACGGGCGAGCTCCAAGATAGCTGCAATTCCTTACAGCTTTTGGTGCTAGGTTGGGATTGCAGTAGTTATGAACCTGCTTAAGAATCAGTATGTTTATGTTATCCTCTGCAATAATTCTTTCTGACAGCATGTAACTGGGGCAACTGTAAAATCTTTCTGACCATTCTCTTAAGAAATGACTTCTGCTTAGAGAGAACTGGCATTTTAGGATTGGCCTTGGAAAGAAATCTTTCCACTTTATCCAAATATAACTCCTGCCCTCAGATCACAATAGGGCTGATATGAGATTTGGGGACATTATATTGTGAGATTATACTGGGGGATAAACTACAAATTTATTAGACTCATTTTAAATAAAGTGTGAGGTTTGCCAAGCTGTATTTCTATTCACTTTATCTTGTTCTGCTGTGTAAAAAAAGCCTGGCTGTCTACACAAGATTTTATACTGAGTCTCCAGAGTACCTTGCCAGACCCATGCCCACTGACTTCCAGACCCCTAGAAGCACCTTTCTTTCTGCTTGGAGTATTTAGATAGTAGTCTGATAGACATCTTTACCTTTGCTTAGCCTGTCCTTGGAGTCGTAGCCAGCTGTCTTTCATCTCCCTTTGCTTTAAGGTCAGTTTGTCATTTATGGAAGGATTCCTCTTGCAAAGTCGGAAAGACTCTAACTGCAGTGGCTAAACAGAGATGTTTAATTAACTAATTAGGGGGGCTTAGATCAATTAATGCAGAGGTGGCCACCCTGTAGCATGGGAACCACAAGTGGCAAGGGCAGCCTCTGTGTGGCACGTGGCAGATAGGGGAGGGAGCAAGGAGCACTGCAAAAGATAGGGCAGGGGGCATAGGGCAGAAAGCGGAGCAGTAGATTGGACAAGGGGCACAGGGCTGGCAGTGGAAAACAAAGCACCAGATTGGGCAGAGGAAGAGGATCAGAATGGCAAGTGGAGAAGGTGTGGGGCTAATACGTGGCATGCTTGCCAAAAATGTTGGCCCCCACTGAATTAATGTAGGAGCCCCTCCTTTATTAGGTTTATTAGCTAAAACTGTAGCCTCTCACCTCCATTTTGGATTGAATGACACTGATTTCTCTCTCCATTTCCTCATGTCTTCGGATGAGATTTGCCACGCTCTCTACATCTTTTCCATAATCCAATGCTTGTATCAGAGCACTCTGGAGGAGGAGAGGGGAAGTGAGAAAGAGAAAGAAAAGCAATAGGACTATCTATATCTTAGGTCCTTTAAATGTTCCCTCTCTCCTTCTCTCTTAACAGCTTCCTTTTATTATTTCAAAAGTACCAATAGATCTCTGGGTCACTGGTGGAGGTGGAACAAGAGTTCATAACCCCTTGACTAGTCCCAACCCTGTTCTCCCAATATGCCCCTGAATATTTGTGTATATAGCATAAATGTGGGCTACACTTTCCATATTACTCCATCATTCTCGTCTTTTTTTCCATAAGCTAAAAATAGCTAAAATAAGCCAAACAGTCGCATGAAATTTCTTAAGCATAAAATGACAATGAAAGTGCAGTTTAAGAAAATTTGAAGAGAACTTTTTTGGGGGAGGGGTCTTCAAAATTTTGCCAGACATAACATTCTGGAGAATTAAGAAGCGTATCAGTAAAATTCTCATTGGAGAATTTCATAAATATTTTTCCCCCAAGTTCAACTGACTCTATGATAGGTCTGCCCACTTATTCATATGTTCACATGAATAATATAAAGATGCGTGTATGAAATAACAGTTACTTTTTATGCAACATTTTTCTTGCACTGTTCTCAAAGCAAAAGGCATTGTTATATGCATTTTTCAGACAATAACAGTTCAGATTAAGTGAACTGCCCAATGGGCCAGTGGTTAAACAGGAATAGAACTCTGTTTTTAGTTAGGTGTCTTATGAACTACACCTTGTTTTTTTCTTTTTAACGTAATCATCCAGCCCTTTAGGTACAGACAATCAAAAAACGGAATCAGTCTAAGTTACGTGGTTTTCTGTAAGTGAACTAGTTTAGATCAGTAGTAAACAGAAAACACATTCACCCTATGGTGGGAAGGACAAATCTTAGGCTGGGTTCTGCCATTTTTAAACCAGTTTGCATGTATCAAACTTCTGTTCTGTTACAGGTAGACCAGTTTCAGATCATTTATACTGGTAAAAGTGTAATGTCTGTACCTTGCTTTAATATTTAGGCACCAAGGGCATTTTTACACGTGCCCTGGGGGTGGGGGGGTGGGTGGGTGGGGGGTGCTTTAATTACAGCGGCTCTGAGAGCCACTTTCATTAAAGTGCACACGTATCTCATGTATTCAGTGCCCCACAAAATGGCAGCAGGGGGACTTTAACTAAAACTTGTTCAATGAGCTTTAGTCAAAGCACCCCTGCCATCATTTTGAATTGTTGGGACACAGAATACACGAGGTGTAGAGGCTGCTGAAGAGTACCAATTACCACACTTCAACAGACTTGATTAACTGAGTCTTCTCTGATACACTATAATTACAGCACATCAGAGCACTGGTTTTGCATGTGTACAGGCACCCCAAGACAGACAATCTCAAGGTTAAAAAGACCATTTAAAAAGACCATTTCTAACCACAATCTGGAATTTTTGAGAATGTCTGTCTTAAATCTGGAAATCTTTGTTATGTTTTGACTGAATTTCAGTCTTTCTACTGAGTTTGTTTCATTGGCCAACATAGCAGCATATTGTTCATAGATTCATAGACATTAGGGGCTGGAAGGGACCTTGCGAGATTGAGTCCAACCCTCCTTATTATGTTTTCTTAGTCAGCAAATTGGTTATAGAAGTTTTATGTTTCCTTGTTTGCTCATTGACAACTATTAAGCATCATCCTTGAAAAGATTTTTTAGCTACAGGACTAATGAATGTTTATAATTTTTTACAGGGTGACTATTGATCCAAAGGGATAGCAGATTTTCTTTGAGGTTAAAGCCCCTTTTATTAATGAAATGATGAACAACCCACCTTCTCACTAATTCTCTCTGTGATGTCATCAATTTCTCTGATTAAAGCATGGATCTCCAGGGCTCCCTCTAGCTTCCTCTTGTATGCATTCAGGTTTCCATGGAAACTATTCCATCTTCATGGAAAAGACAGTTTTAGAGGAGAGGATGATTATTAGAACTTCCACAGCTGCAGGTGAACTGCATTCAACTGGGGGCCAAAAGGCTGTATTTCTTTGCTCCCTTACTCTGAACCCCCACTTTCCACAGTTTTTGGACTGAAAACCTCGGAACATATTCAGCTCCAAGGTTAGGAAAGATGAGTTTCACTTTGTCGAATTGAAAACCATTCTGGTCAACTGCAGTGCTGCTTTGGCAGCCTCCAAGAGAAGCTTCACTGGCTGGTGGTTGGTGGCACGATATTGAATGTTGTATTTATGGAGGAGAGTGCTTAAAAGAGTCTATGTAGGAATCTTCAGCCTTTATCCAGCTCAGCCGTGAAGAGACCTGTCTTTCCCCTTCTACCATGAAATTATTAGAACAGCTTTGATTAAACTTTCCTTCATTTAGAACCTTGAAAGTATACTCACTTGTCATTGAGCTGTTTTCGGCGCCAGTATATTGTCTTAGTCTCCTCCTTGTTTTGTTTCTCTAGTTTCATGGCCAGGGCATTGATGGCTCTGATGTGAGCATCATCCACTGTCACCTCCTACAAGACCGGAACAAAGAAAAATGTATGGGTTCAAGATGAACGGTGTCCCCCAGTTATTGCATTCCATCAGGGTATGAAAAAGCCAATTGAGGCTGTCAATACAGAAGAATTTAGACCAGGGGTGGGCAAAATGCGGCCCATGGGCTGGATGCAGCCCACCAGGCCATTCCATCCGGCCTGCAGGGCCCCTAAAAAATTTAGAAAATTAATATTTATCTGCCCCTGGCTGCCTGTCATGTGGCCCTTGACGGCTTGCCAAAACTCAGTAAGTGGCCCTCCGCCTGAAATAATTGCCCAGCCCTGGGGTAGGGGGTGAGACTTCCAGTCCCAAGACGGTGATCTGGGGTGGCGGGGGAGCACCTGTCAAGGGATGGGGCTACCCATGTGGCCCTCTACAACTTGCCAAAACTCGGTAAGTGGCCCTCCACCCAAAATAATTGCCCACCCCTGATTTAGACACATATGCACTGCCCTGATCACACTCATGTATCTCTCTCAGAGGCTGAGAGTGTAGAGATGAGGAGGGAAACAAAGAAAGGTCAAAGTCCTGAGCATGGACCTTAGGGGACAGAGTGCAGACTTATCACCACATTCTCTTTTAAAACAACCTCCTTCTATTTTAGGAAATGCCTCCATTGAGGTACAGGGGAAATTAGCCCTCACTGAGCTCTAGGCTTCTGTTGCTAAACTGCTTCAGGGATCTGTGCTAGCTTGTATGAAGTGAATGTGAGTATCTCTGCACTGTACTGTGCCATGCACATGCAGCCTTAGGAAGCACGATAAGTCTTTGACATCACTTGTTTTTCACATACTGTGGAAAGGGTAATATTTTCACATAACTCAAGTGGGCTATACTGGAACAAATATTCTGGAGCATGGCCACCAGCCAGCATTGAATAAAGACCATCAGTGGTACAACACTCTAATCATTTTAATTTGCAAGAAGGTCAATAAATCACACACTCAGCAGGGAGATATTAATCACTGGCTGTGCAGAAGCACAGCTGCAGGACGCCAGCACTACATTAATAGAAGCATTGATTCCATTTGCATTTTATATGCTCTAAGTACATACCAATGTGCATATTTCTGTATGTGCTTTGCTATGATACACAGCAGGAAAGCCAACAGACTGGAAACATACTATACTAAAAAATTATTCCAAGGTATAAGAACCCTACTGTCTCCTGCCCTGGAGGATGGAAGCTAACAGCATTGGAGCAGGAGGGGAACAAGGGTCTGAGCAGTAAAGGTGACCATCATCCCTAGCATGGTTACATACCACTCTCATCTGCGATTTATCTGGCTGTTAGCTCCGTGATACAAGGGTGGTGTCACATGTTCAATTTGACAGTAAACCCAGTTAAAAAGTGGGCAGGGGTGTGTTCAAGCAGTGTAGCATCTGTTAAATGCTCTCACGGTGTTGCAATATTGTTCCCTTTCAGGCAGGGATTATCTCCTAACACCTATTCATTTTAGTAGGTCACTACAGTCCAACGATCTGCAACTGTTGCAAGTGAATGTGTGACACCACTCTAAAGTAAAATCACTGAGTGGAAGAATGCACCTAATTTTTAGAGGTGTATGAAATGGGCCATATTCAATTTGGATTTGGGTTCGGCCCGAATCAGGGACAGTGATTCAATTCATTGATTCGGATCACTGTCCCCAATTGCTGTGCCCTTGGCCTGGCTGTACGAGTGATCATGATCCACAGGCCAGGTGCCCGGAGATTGGAAACTAGCTAATGTGGTCCTCATTTATAAGAAAGGGAGAAAGGAGGACCCAGGAAACTATAGGCCCATAAGCCTCACATCGGTCTTGGGGAAAATCCTTGAAATAATTATCAAGGATCACATCTGTGAGGGGCCAGCAGGGGAGATCATGCCCAGGGGAAATCAATATGGTTCATCAAAGGCAGGTCCTGCCAGACCAACCTGATGGCCTTTTATGACCAGGTAACTAAATCCCTGGATGATGGTGTTGCCATGGATGAAGTTTTTCTGGACTTCAAGAAGGCCGTTGACACCGTCTCTCACCCCTCATCAATAAATTAAGCGACTGTGGCATTGATGCCTACACAGTTGGATGGGTCAAAAATTGGCTGATGGGGTGCACCCAGAGAGTGGTGGTGGATGGGTCATACTTGACCTGGCGGGATGTGAATAGTGGGGTCCCCCAGGGCTCAGTCCTGGGGCCCACACTGTTTGACATCTTCATCAGCGACTTGGATGAGGGGGTGGAAAACAGGCTTCTGTTGCTAAACTGCTTCAGGGATCTGTGCTAGCTTGTATGAAGTGAATGTGAGTATCTCTGCACTGTACTGTGCCATGCACATGCAGCCTTAGGAAGCACGATAAGTCTTTGACATCACTTGTTTTTCACATACTGTGGAAAGGGTAATATTTTCACATAACTCAAGTGGGCTATACTGGAACAAATATTCTGGAGCATGGCCACCAGCCAGCATTGAATAAAGACCATCAGTGGTACAACACTCTAATCATTTTAATTTGCAAGAAGGTCAATAAATCACACACTCAGCAGGGAGATATTAATCACTGGCTGTGCAGAAGCACAGCTGCAGGACGCCAGCACTACATTAATAGAAGCATTGATTCCATTTGCATTTTATATGCTCTAAGTACATACCAATGTGCATATTTCTGTATGTGCTTTGCTATGATACACAGCAGGAAAGCCAACAGACTGGAAACATACTATACTAAAAAATTATTCCAAGGTATAAGAACCCTACTGTCTCCTGCCCTGGAGGATGGAAGCTAACAGCATTGGAGCAGGAGGGGAACAAGGGTCTGAGCAGTAAAGGTGACCATCATCCCTAGCATGGTTACATACCACTCTCATCTGCGATTTATCTGGCTGTTAGCTCCGTGATACAAGGGTGGTGTCACATGTTCAATTTGACAGTAAACCCAGTTAAAAAGTGGGCAGGGGTGTGTTCAAGCAGTGTAGCATCTGTTAAATGCTCTCACGGTGTTGCAATATTGTTCCCTTTCAGGCAGGGATTATCTCCTAACACCTATTCATTTTAGTAGGTCACTACAGTCCAACGATCTGCAACTGTTGCAAGTGAATGTGTGACACCACTCTAAAGTAAAATCACTGAGTGGAAGAATGCACCTAATTTTTAGAGGTGTATGAAATGGGCCATATTCAATTTGGATTTGGGTTCGGCCCGAATCAGGGACAGTGATTCAATTCATTGATTCGGATCACTGTCCCCAATTGCTGTGCCCTTGGCCTGGCTGTACGAGTGATCATGATCCACAGGCCAGGTGCCCGGAGATTGGAAACTAGCTAATGTGGTCCTCATTTATAAGAAAGGGAGAAAGGAGGACCCAGGAAACTATAGGCCCATAAGCCTCACATCGGTCTTGGGGAAAATCCTTGAAATAATTATCAAGGATCACATCTGTGAGGGGCCAGCAGGGGAGATCATGCCCAGGGGAAATCAATATGGTTCATCAAAGGCAGGTCCTGCCAGACCAACCTGATGGCCTTTTATGACCAGGTAACTAAATCCCTGGATGATGGTGTTGCCATGGATGAAGTTTTTCTGGACTTCAAGAAGGCCGTTGACACCGTCTCTCACCCCTCATCAATAAATTAAGCGACTGTGGCATTGATGCCTACACAGTTGGATGGGTCAAAAATTGGCTGATGGGGC